CAGCATCAAGGGGTTCAACATCCTGGTCCCTGCAGAAGGTAAGAACGAATCCAAAATACTGATTTCATCACCGACATGAGGGATCTGTGGAGAGATGATGGTTTGCAAGTCTGTGGAAGTTCATGTAGGAGCAGTGTGGAGAGCAGGCTGAGTGAATGGACGCTGTCTGGGTTGTAAAGCCCGCCGCTGAGCCAGAGGGCTGAAGGCAGGAACGATTGGACAGAGAGGGGGCCTGAGAGTTGTCTAATGTGTGCCTGTCTGAAACTCTATTATTATTATTGTTATTATTATTATTATTAGTTGTAGTAGGATTGCAACAGCAATTATATTTATATATCTAATATTATTATATTTATATTATATATTGTATATATTAAAAACAAATCTGACTGACTGACAGTTGACTGACTGAATGATTATTAGTATTGTTGTATCAAATATATGTTATATTGATTGAAAAAAAAAGTGAGCTTTTACAAGATTGAATTTCCCTTCTGGGATAAATAAAGTATTTTTCATTTTTCATTTCATATTATTATTAGCAGTAGTAGTAGTAGCTGTCGTTATAATACATCATATGCAAATTACATAATTTTGTGAATGCAAATATCAAAAATAATCTGGGAATTGTGGAAATCTGATTACCTTTATGAATGAATATTGTGAATTTATGTACAGTTGTTTTACCACCTGCAGTATCTAGAGTTGAGGTCAGGATGCTGTCTGACTTCTTAACTTTATCCCTGAGATGCTGAGCATTAATGGGATTAAACATATTTTTCCTTTGCTTGACATGTTGGAGTCCTACGAAGGGTCTCCATCTAAAAATAATGTTAGAGTTTTGTCATATGTCTTTGAGGGAAAAAAACCCTAAAAAGGTATTATTACTGTAATTTATTTTTCTGAAAGGAGGAACTTTCTCTTCTTTTCAAAACTAAAAATTCCTCTCCACCACTGCCAAGCAGCCCAGATGTTACCTTGAGTCCACTCTGCCTCCTAGTGGCCATAGGTTGGAATTGCAGCTAAATAAAGCATCATTCACGACCAAACAGTCATTATTACCATTTGAGTTCTAGGTTCTGTTCATAGTAACTGCACTGACTGTAAACTCAGTCAGGAGAAAGACAAAGTATGAAATTCACTGCATGTTTGGCTGTTTTAGTCAAAGCTGCAGAGATGGTGATGAGGAAGATAGTTTAAGTAAAAAAAGAATAGTTAAGATGAAAGTGTGCAGTGTAAAAATAACAAGAAGTCACAATTAGACGTTAAAAATATTTCAACATTCAGCACAGGCACACCAGTGCAGCAGCAGCGCTGTGTCTGGCACTTTGTATGCAGTTCTGTTATTCCATCCATGTTTTTAAGTGCCACAGTGGATTTTTATAGTTGTTGACAATACATCCAGCTTGTGCATACTCAATCTACTATAGTGTGCTACTGTTTGCATACAAGGGTCCATAGAGAGTAGAGGGTCAGGAATGAAGAGCACTTGCCCTTGAGGAGATCCAGTTAATAAATAATGGTTGGACTACTTGGAAAAGAGGAATTCAAGTGTTGCAGAGCGTTACTTTCTTTTAAATAACTGAACAAGGCCCTTTATCACTGTAAAAGTTGTTTGGTCCTTGTGCCAGAATGAGCAACATATCAGCATTCATTCTTCAAAATCCAGTTTCATACATAATTGAAAACATAACCAAGCTCAAGTCAGAATTTTTAATATAGCTCTTCTTAATATTTATTCTTTAGACTCAGGGGAAACGCTGATTTTTTACAGCACGATTTGCATATCTCAACACATCCTGTGTACAACCACAAAACCATAACATTATATGCTTTGTTTTTACACTGAGTGGAAAAACAAGACAATTTTACAAGCATATTTCTTTACACACTCAGCATACAGATAAATCTATACATATTCTCTCTCTTTTGAAACATAATCTTTAGGCAAAATATACTGACAAACCATCAACAAAACATGCAACATCCAAAACATAAAAGTTTCAGACAACTATTGAAGTTGAATAGATTTTTTTCCCCCCCCTTTGTGTTGTTTTTACGGGACGTAGTTGCACAGATAAGTCATCGGTTGACAGCACATGTTTTGATTACACAGTCAACTCCCCTTATACAACTATAGACACGCATTGCTGTACAGTTATTAAGTGATTCTTTTGTCAGTTTTTTTTTTTTTTTTTTTTTTTTTTTCCAACACTCACATGCTCAAACTTCGGACAATATAAACATTCAGTCTTTGTAGAAAATAAACACTTTATGTACACATGTCAAACAACTTGAGTCACATTCACGCCCCTCAGAACAACGACAAATGGATGGTTTTTCACGATTACAGGCAACAGCTGATCTAAACAAACAGATTTAAGCTCGGAGGATGGAAACACGAGGGGTTCGAACAGTCATGACTGAGCGTTGAGATAATTTGTCTTTATTTACCGTACTGTGTGCACGACCTGTTAAGTACACGATGATGTAGTTAAGGGTGATTTCCCTCCTCCCCCGGATTGTGCATTGTGTTTAGGAAACCCCATCGTGTCTGCGTGTTTTTCTTTTTTTTT